TGGAGATATGCAGAGTTAGAATTATATAGCAATGTAGATATATAATGATGGAGATATTCAGAGCTGGAGATATTCAGACTGGCAGAAAAATATTTCCATCGGTAATCCATCAACATTTACATAAAGGAGACTTAAAAAACATCCAGGATGGAGGTAAAGAAATCTGGAGTAGGGGGCACTGCATGTGCACATGCACACACGTATGCTTACACTCAAATGCACAGCAGCTACTGCAGGAGCTGGGGTTTGTGCTGGTAAGGCTGTGCTGGGAGAGGGGTGGGAGGAGCAGGGGTTGTAGCAGTGGGGAACCAAGTACTGCTGACCACTTACTCTGCCCACATCCCAGCTGGGGCATGGGCCAAATTTCCATGGAGTCCAACCCAGCTTCTATGGGAGTTTGGCCCCTGCCCCAATCACGCAGGGGCCAGACCAGGCTTCACAGGAGTTTGGTCCCTGCCCCAGCTGGGATCAGGGCAGAGCTGTGAGCCAGTGGCACCAGGTTCCTGGGCACTACCAGTTCTGCTTCTCCAACTTCCGTATCCTAGAACAGCCTTACTGGTAGTAGCACCCTGCTCCTGTAGCAGCCATTCTGTATGCATACATGCATGTGCTAAATGGATTAAAAATAAAAAACAGCCCTTAATTTCATGCAACCCTGAAAATTTCAGTCGGTAAAAATCAAAATAAATGCATAAAAAGAAACAGTCAATTTTAGCTGTCAAAAAAAATTGAATTCTGCCAAGCTTAGTTTTTATTTAGTCTTGAGTGCTTTAACCTAAGAAGCATGCTGATTTTGTGACAAGTGCAATAGCAAAAAAAAATCCATTAATTTACCATCTTGCTTGTTTAGCTCTTGTTCAGATAGATGCATATGCAGGGTCTTAAAACTTGCCTTTCTAGCCCATTGGATTGTGCTGTTAAACTGTTTTTGCCCATTTCTTTAAGGACAGGGTGAATATTAACACCAGAAGCGATGCATGAGGGGAACACATGGAATGTTGTGAAAGAGGATCTCAGGAAAAGGGAGAGTGAAAACGAGCGTGCCAGATGTTAATTCTGCCTCTTTCAGCTCCATCTCACTTTTCAGCCTCCATTTCTTTCCTCTGAGTCCCTTTGCAGTTCTCCGGAGTGACGTTTGCTGTAGGCTTGTTTGTTCCAGCCCTAAAGCTATTTTCCAGTGATGAGTTAAATCAGTAATTTGAAAACAACAGGGTTTCCCATTGTCATTTTCAGGCTTCTGTCTTGCGCATCAATACAAGAACTTGCAGATTCCCGTAATGCTGATGTTGTGGCAGCCTGCCATGCAAACAATATAGAAATACCGGGGTTGCCCTCCTATACTTGAAGAAATTTTGGCCATCACAAATGCTACCACAAATGGAGCTGAAATAAATCAAAATCCCAAGCTGCTGTGGATGTGGTGCTTTGATGATGATGAGCTTGCAGCAGTGTAATACTCTAGTCGCTGCTAATGAATACTGCAGAAAAGAGTTCAGCAAAGCAAACACCTCCAGGGGAGATAGGCTCCCAACTCCAAGTGCCTGGTGTTTTTGTAAATTTCTGTTAATATCCATGTTTCCGAGCTAGATTCCTGTTTAAAGTAGCTCACAGATACTGGGGCCTATTACAGAAAATCCTCAGGCCAGCACAGTTTTTTTTTGGGGGGGGTGAACAAAATAATTGGAGGTGGATGAGAAGTACTAGCTCTGTTCAGCGTTTTGTTTCCCTTAGCTTCTGTTTTTCATGGCTGCTCTTGTCCAGCTTTCTTTTATCTATCTGGATACAAACTTAACACCAGTTCTCTTTGCTGTTTGTGTGTAGGTCCAGTTGGTAGCGGTTGATGGAATTGCATTCCCTTTTCGTCATGACTTTGAGGACCTCTCACTGCGAACAAGGCTTCTGAATGGCCTGGCTCAACAGCTGATCAGCATAGCAAATGATCATAAATTAGCTGTAAGTTTTGGGACAGCGTTAAGTCCAAGGACATGCTATTTGGCAATACATTTCAAAGGTTTCTTCTTACATCTTTGGCAGCAGCTAAGCATAGCCAAGTAAAGCTGCAGGCATGGAAGTCAAGCTTGTTGGGTGCCTGTCTGGTCAGCTGATAGCAAGAACATGAGCAGGATTTGGACAATAGATCTTTCTCTTGAGCTTTCCTTAAGTTAAAATTACCTGAAAAGTATCAGCTGAATCTTTTTAGCTAACTGATCAAATATCAGTCTGTTGAAGCCCATATCATCTCTCACCCTCTTCCACCATGATCTTGGTTGGAAAATGCATTTTAAGTACAGTAGCAGATGCAGTGGAGCCTGCTTGAAGGGAAATGGAGTACAAGGGACTGCATTGGCCTTGGAGAGATGGAGGAGGTGCAAGAGAACCTGCCATATCTGCCAGGGTCAAGAGGGAATGCTTTCTCCTGCCTGTCCTTTCAGGCTATTGTGAAACACTATCTAACGTGAAGTTCCTAACTAACTCACACACACTCACACACACACTTCAGCCCATATGAAATGGCTTTAATCTCCAAAGATACCCAGGAATAGAAGAAAAGAGCTCATTCAGCTACTTCTTCCCATACGTACATGCACATTAAAATGAGCTAAACTATTCAGCAACCTGGACATAAATTGGACACAGTTTAAAAAGGACCACCTTTACTGAATAACCATTTTATTTGCTACGGTTTAGCTCGTTGATTTGGCATCCATGGAAACTGATAGCTTCCTGCCTGTAGCTTGTTTCTGCACCATATACCACAATATGGAGGTCTGCAAATGTGCAGCCATCTAGCCAGCAGATGGCACTCGGAAGCTACAGCTGTTCGGAGGGGGTGTTTTTGAGACCTGCAGCACAGAGAGGCATTGTTCAGGAATTAAAGCTTATGCAATCTCAAAATGGTGCTTGTCCATGCACCGTTTCCAGGTGACTTGCTTCTTTGTCTCCCAGAACGCTCTCACGCAACTGGCTTTTGTTTGTGTGGCTAAAAATAAGTCTCTCCCCTGTGTTTCCTCAGATAGCTATGGATGGAAAAGTGCATAACTGTGCATGCTGCCAGCTTTACAAATTTGTGCCTGCCAGTAACAGCAATCCCAACGTGAACTACAAAGGGGTTTCCTTCATGTGTGGGCACCAAGGGATACAAGTGCTGGGTGAAGACTAGTTTTGTACAGCCCTCTGTAGATTCGACTATGCTGGCCCATAAATTGGGTGTCCTGTGAACTTGTCATCAGATTGTCCCTTTCTTTTCATCTGAGTGATGCACGCATAGGTTTTGTTTTTATTGAACAGTGGATCAGTTCCTCTTCAACAGCTGCTCCTTGGGAAATGATCAATCATAACCTATGGGAAAGAGCCTTGTGAATTGACTACTCAAGCAGGAGTCCATACAGCAGGGATAACAAGCAGTGGCAAACCCTAGCATTCAGGGTAGGCACCATTTCAACAAAAGCAAAACAAACAAACATTACAATTAATATCTCCTAAATCACCAAAACTAGTGTTTCAAGTCAGCTATTACCTTGCTCCTTTTCATCTCACCCACCCCCAGTTCTACCAGGGATCTGACCTAGACTGTCTGTGAACCTCCTACAGAGGATTCTTGCTGTAAAAACACGCCTCCACTCTGTCTGTTCTCACGCATTCTGGTTTGTAGTGTACCCACTAGTGCATTTTTAGACTACAAGCTGCAGGGAATCTGCTCATCCCTGGGCACACGCACACTTTGTACAGCACCGGGTTCATTACGACACAGTGGTGAAGTCTGCCTGTGCAGAGGTGCCAACACAAGTCCTGTACACATGAATAATACAATGTGTATTAGCTGCTGCTTGGCAGCCAGTGTAATAGAGATGACTGTATGGTGTTTGTGCATCTGGCATAAGGAGAGGTTTCGCTTTAGAATTACAATCCTGACAGAGGAAATTCCTGCTCCCCACCAGACTGAAAACATTTTTTGTAGAGTTCAGACCCACTGCGGATATCAGCACAGTAAGCCTTTGCTTTTTCTCATCACTCACTACAGCCCCTTTCCAGTTGGCAGGAATTTTGCCTGAGTAATGATTATAAGATCAGATCAGGAATACAGCAGTTCTTGAGAGAGGCTTTTTGGAAACTGGCTTTTCCTTTCATACATAACTGTTTCCCTGTATTTTTCTTTGTGCCCACCCCTTCTTTTTCCCTTAGGTAATTTTGACAAATCAAATGACAACAAGGATTGGACAAAGTCAGTCCACGTTGGTTCCTGCTTTAGGTAGGTGGTTTAGCCAGCAAGCTGGAAAGTATATTAGCCTTTTGATGTTTGCTTTTTTTTCCTGGTTTGCGCTGTGAACAGAAAAACTGAAAATGTCTTCTGTAATTTGTATGGCTGTGTAGGGAAATGCTGAGAGAGCAGCAGAGTGATCTGAACTTGGAACTTCTTAGTTACGGCTTTGGAGAGACATGCAGTAAATTGTCACGTCAGGGTTTTCACCAAAGGCTTCAGTTGGCTGCTATTAAAACATGTTCTTTTCTCAGATATGGCAGCTCAGATTCTAGCCTAGAAAAGGATTTTCTAAATCTTCACGGATATTAAAACAGGAAGTGACTTGTTACATTTTTAGTTGCAGTTTGGAAATGTTGCTAGATGCTTTGGGCGGGAGGGGGGTCCTCCCTTTTTAATTTCAAAAAGCTTTCTACTAACCCTGAAATTAGACCTGTAGAGATTCCTTTACATGACTGAGGGCGATATTGTGAACTCATTGCTCTGTTAAATGGATACAGTAATTAGTTTCTAGAATCTGCATCTCACACGTCACAGGGGGTCCTACAAAGACCCTAAGCAATTGTGACCCCACCATACTTGAATTTTTTTCTCCTTTCGTTCACTGCTTCCCATTTCCCCTCCTAAATATATTCAAGCACAATGGCAAAGCCAGTCATTGAAAATGTACAGCTAATGATTGATAGTGCCCAAAAGCGTTTCAGATTTGGTTCATGTGCTAGGACTATATAACAACTTGTCCCTCACCACGTATAGTCATGAAGAGTCAGTGGGGGGAAAGGAGGGATTCTGTATGTGGCCATCTACTACAGGCTATCCATAAACAGGGTAAACAGATTGCTCTAGTCTCTCCTGGAAGCACTGTAATCTGTATGGGCCTTTCTGCTCTGCCTACAGGGCAGATGGGAGCAATTTGCTTGAACTGGCCAAATTAAGCTTTACATGTCTTGTCTTGGTTTATGTTGTAACTTATTAGTTCATATTGTAATTGGAGGGGAAATGTTCTCTGCATACAGCTTCAGTTTCTGTGAACCGAGTAACGATTCCCTTGATTATGCTGGGAAGGGGGAAGTACAAAGGCAAAGATGTTCCCAATGTCTGTTCAGTCATTGAACCATTTGGCACAGATGTAAGATAAAATGAACAAATACAAGGCGTCTCCTTGGAGAATGCTGCATTTTGAACTGTACGTGCAGATAAAGTCCTTGCTTTCAGTATTTGACCCTTTGTCATCTTTACCTCCTGCTCTCTGCTGGATTCATTGTTATTAGCAGCTTTTCTGGCTACAAGGTGAATTCAAGTCAATAGAGTCTATCTTTTTTTAAATAGTCTATATTTAAATGCTGCTCAGCTTACAGGGTCATAGAGACAGTGAAGAATGTGAAAGGATTCCATCCATATAGGTGATCGTCCCAAGCTGTTACAGTCTGTACTGCACACAATTCTGGACAGCAGGATAATACCTATCCATTGTAGAAGACTTTGGTCTAAACTAGTTGTATGTAGCCATACATTTGTTAGCCAAACAGTCTTTCTTCTTGCTATGATCAAGGTTTGTTCCCAGCTGGTGAAATATTCAGGCTGAGAGATGCCCCACTCATCCAAGTTTAATTGTATGTAGCCATTTCTCTGAGGTTGAACATACCAAAGCAGTGCAGGGCTGTGTGCAACGTGACATGTACTCATCCTGGACGCTATTTTTAGTGTTGTTAGGAGTATTAGTAGGGTGATTTTAAGGCCTGTTCTGGAAGGCAAGGGTTACTGCAACCATCCTGTAATGAAGCTAAAGTGCGTCTCTCCCCCGTGCTGCTAGTTCTAGCCAGAGACTATTAAATGATGGCTCAGTGGCAAATCCCTGAGCAAAGATGGCATTTGATTTATTTGCATTTCCAGACAGCTGGGTTTTCTTGCCAGCTGCCTCTGTCAGTGTTTGTCAGTTCCTTTGCCTCCCCCACCAAACTTTTTTCATTGATTTTTAGTGGGTCCAAGAAACAGTCTCTCTCAAGATTTCACAAGAGCATTAATCCCTAAACTCTTACTCAGCTTTCCAGTGGAAGGGAAGCCCTTAATTATGCCAGAACCCAGATGCTGCAAGGTATTAAGAGAAGAACTGTATGGGAACAGAACAGCTTTCTCTACTGCTAAGAGCTAAGCTGGGTGTTCCTAGACATTTTTACTTGGTATATTTAGCAATTAGGTCAAATATTTATTTGCAACCAGTCTAAGTCAGAAGCCTCGCATTTTGCAACACTTTTTTTCTTGTAATTGTTGTGCTTGGATACACTGTTACAAATGGGGATAAATTTCCATTTTAAAATTCATATTGTGATCTTTGACTCTCAACCACCTCCAAAAGACAGCATCTTAAATCCCAGCTTAGTGTAAATACGATGGAGTGGGATCTGGCAAGATGCTTCAAGGGTCTAGGCATACAAAGCTTTTTTAATTTGAGGATCTTTCATCAGAGTTGTATTGCTTTTCTGACTGTGTACAGTAATGAAGATGGAAGTGGATAGGGTTGGTGACATATCAGAGACTGACAAATAGACTGACTTGGAAGTTATAGAGTTGCTTGGGGATGAATAGGAGATGCTTGCTGCACTTAGCCAGATGAATGCTTTAACATCCTATCCGTCTTCTGACTACAGAATGTCTCGTGGGATAGGCTGAGGAAAAAATCTGGATAGAGCTGTTTTTAAATTAAATGATGTTGCAGCTTGTGGTCAGACGTGAAATGAAACATTGGAATTGCCTTGCGTGGCTTGGTATAACTGCCCCAGTTTCTGAGCAGTCTGATCCTTGAAAAGGTCTCTCTCAAAATTTGCTTGTGGCTTGTCAGTACTTCGGTAATCATGAATTTTCCTTCTTGAGGCCCAGGCTCCTGTGGAAAGCTAGCAAGGTCTGCATGCTTGGAGACAAAAGCAGAGCCAGAATATAGCAGCACCCTTGCACTTGACTGCAGGGATATCCTCTATACTTAACTCTGTAGAGATGGGAAAACTCTTATTATGTGAGCCATATTAATGCTGTTGCTACTGTCCATCTTCTAGCTAAAGATCTATATACACATTCTATGAATGTGAAAGCATCACTTCAAATTTATGCTTTGTTTAAAAAAATCAGGGAAGGTAATAAATTCCTTGGCACTTCCATAAACTGATAAAGGGTTGTGAAGTCCTTCCAGATGTATTTCTGGGGGCACCAAGTTACATTTCTTTTGTTTGTGTGTTTTATCATCTTAGAGAAGGACTGATTTTTTTTTTCTGGAAGTTAAATCCATTGATACTAGTGTGTTTAAAAGAAACAATAAAATAACTTTCCTTTTGCATGTATGTTCCCCAGGGGAAAGCTGGGGACATGCTGCTACCATCCGTTTAATCTTGCACTGGGACAACAATCAGAGGTAAGTGAAAATACAGGTCAGCATGCGGTATTTAGACGGGGCTCCTGTTAGCTGAGAATTGGGTGCAGGTACACATGTACTATGGAGTACATTAACTTTATATTAAAAGTGGAGCAGATACATGTCAAGCAGCCTTATACTGGTGTGAGTCATTCTACTCTGAGATAAAGATACTCCTCAAAAAGTGAAGAGTAACTGGGCACATCTACACATGCGATTAATGCTGCTAAGTAAACTCTGGTGCCGGAGTTTATTGCTCCTGGGTGTGCCGTGTTTGCACATGTGCCTAGGACTGCAGCATGTTGAGCTGGGGCACAGCAGCTCTAGCTAGCAGGGGGCCCCAGGGGTCAGTCTGCCAGCCTGGGGCTGCTCCAACACAGCTCAGCATGTGGAGGGGCTGGCTGGGGCACAGGGGTGCTTCATTGTGGGGATAGCTGTCTGGCAGCCCCTTATCCATTTGCTCTTGTGCCCCAGGCAGGCCTGTGAGCATCCACACATGCATTGCGGCAGAGTAAATAACTCCACCATATGATACACTTGTGTCTAGTAGTACTATCTATCCTACAGTGGAGTTAATTAGTTTACTCTGTCCCAATAGCACCGCACATATAGATGGTAACATTTTACTGTGGAGCAAATTAGCTCCACAGTAAACATCTTGTATAGATGTGCCCGCTCCTTTAATCATTTTTATCTGAAGAGTAGCTCATTGTTAACTGTCTGCCTGCTACCTGGCTGCTACAGAGCCAGGCTCTGTAATAACACCTTCTGCAGGTAGCTAGCTTGGGAGAGCTGGTCATGTTTCCACTCTTTATTACAGAATAAAATTCAGGGCAAATAGCTCTATAGTAACCATGGTATATGCCCATAACCTCTATTTCAAGTTGACTTCGGACTTGACTTTGATTCCATGTGTTGCCCCATCTCTGGACAGGTAGGGCAAGACATCCTTATGCTGCAGTTCAGCCCTTAGGTAAGGTGATCATCTGGATCACAGACTCTTTCCTTCATTGTGGTCAGCATGCCGCAGCACTACTGCATTGTCTCTTTATAGTTTCATAGTTTCTAGGGTCGGAAGGGACCTGAGCAGATCATCTAGTCCGCCCCCCTGCCATGGCAGGAAA